ACCGAATTCATGTTCGTATGCCAGCAGCTGTGTGGTAGTCACTATGGTAGGCGCCGTAGTTGACACGGGGGTAGTGGAGACCCTTGAGGCACGGCTGGAGAACGCGAGGAGACGTCACGAGGCCAACAAGTTTGGCAACCTGCCCTGGGCGGTGGTCGAGGCTGGCATCCGTGTTGTGTGGGCGACGGAGCACCCTCCCTCTCGGCATGCATCTCCTCGACCGGTGAACACAGAAGGCGGCCTCGACGTGGGCGTCCACGCCGGTGGTGACCAAGTCGGCAGCATTGCGAGAGGTACATCGTCAAGGCAGTGAGGACTGATACACGCCGGTGAAGTCGGCGGCGTTCAGGCGCGAGAGATGCAGTCGTCGGCGGCTGCAGGCTCGTCTCAGGGTGACGTCGAACGACGTTGAAGTGGAATGATGCCGTCATCGGCGACCCATGTAATGGCGGGAGGGATAGCACCGAGCTACGACTACTTCAAGTTCACGTGAGACAGGATCTCGGTCACCCCTCTGCTCGTTGGTCGACCGGACATCCTCACCTGGAAGGAAGCTATCGAGCCCCACCTAGAGATGGCCGGGCTGATCGGCTTAGCCCGCGGCACCGTGGCGACGTCGGAGGAGCTCTACCCCGACCTGCGTGCGGTACAGTTGCTGACCTTCACGGTCATCTCGCAGTGCTGCTCGCCGGGAGTGCAGATCGCCCTGAAATCGTGCAAGGAGTACCTCGACGCCGGCCACCAGGCGTGGCATTTCATCGAGTCGACATACCAGGTCACCGACGACCTGTTCATCGGCCAGCTTGAGAGGCAGCTGTCGCACCTGCGCATGGGCGACCAGTAGTCGGCGACCGACTACTGCAACCGGGCTCAGCGACTCCTCGCCACTATGCGGATGGCCGGCGCGCAGTACTCGACGTCATCGTACGTCACGCACGTCATGACAGGACTCCCGAGCAGCTACAACCTGCTGAAGCGGCTGTCGATGGCACCGAGCACGCGAGCGACGCTCAACGAGGACACCTTGATCTCGTACATCCTGCAGGACGAGGCGATGTAGGAGTCCAAGCGGTCCCATGAGCTCTTGGCGCAGGTGAACTACGTCGCCCCGACGAAGCGAAGTGGTCGACCGGGGCAACGTGGGCAGTTGTGAGGATCTAGGATCGAGCTCAGAAAAGAGAATGTGAATTGAATGATTCACCTGGGTACAACACGAGGCTATATATAGTCTCGACACAAGGCCAGTTACCCAGGTGTTACGCGAATGTTCTAAGGGTCGCGAAGCGCCCCGAACAGAACCTTCCCGAACTCAGTAGAAAGCAATTCGGTGGAAACCGAATAGGCTTGAGTTCGGTACACGTAACCTGGTTCCGTGCTATAACTATAATAAAATATAGGAATGCACCTAACCTAGGAAATCAAGCATATCTATGCATGATAAAATAAACCCATACTAGAAATAGCATAATAAAGTCCAGGCAAGCAAGCATAGCAGGCATAAGCCGTCGTACTCTCACAGCAGTCTGGCGGCAGTGGAAGCAGTGGCGGCAGGCCGACCAGGGACGCCGACAAGAAGCAGTCGGCGAAGGAGAGCGGTCATGGGGGAGGAAGTCGATGTCGGGAGTGCTGGCTCTGTGGCGACCCGACCACCTCTTCTTCGAGTGCCCCAACCGCTGTGATTCTGATGACGACAACACCAAGGGCGGCCGTGGGAGGTCGGGCAGCCATCGTCCGCGTCGAGGAGGGAACCAGTCACGCAAAGAGAAGCAGTCGACCAATCCGTTGACCTCGGTGAAGGACGCCGACTCCTCTGCTGGCGGCAAGCGCGATGACAAGGAGGCGTCGTGCTCGCTGGTCGGCGTTGTGGAGCCGATCATCTCACTAGCGCCAGAGGCTGGCGAGGATTTCCGTGCGATGGCGGCAGCCGTGCAGGCGAACCCGGAGGTGAACCTTCTCGACAGTGGCTGCTCGCATCACCTGATGGGGACGAAGGAGGTCTTCGTTGACCTGCAGCCGAGCGGCGACGTCAAGCACGTGCGCGGCTTCAATACGGCACTACAAGACGTCCAGGGCCGGGGCACGGTCGCCTTGCAAGGTGAAGCCGGGAACGGGTGCTCATCCCTGACGTACTCTACGTCCCGAATGTGCGTGCGAACCTGCTGTCCGCCGGCCAGCTGAACGCGAGTAGCGTGAAGATGACCGAGGACGGCGACGGCACGCTGCTTATCTCGGCAATGGGGGACGTCCTTGGTCGGGCGACGTACTCCGGCCGAGTTCTCTGCACCAACCTATGCCCCTGCACGGCGAAGTCAACGTCGACCACGGCGGAGGTGGTGGCTCTCCGGGCGATAGTCTCGGCGACGAAGTCCACGCCGGACCGACTACATGCGAGGCTCGCCCACGTCCGGACACCATCCGGAGCTCAGCAAAGCACGAGGTCGCCACTGGGCTGGACCTCAAGTCGGCGTCTGGTGCCGACTCACCATGTGTCTCGTGCGTCGGCGGGAATCTGGCGCGGCACACCTACCCCGACCAGAGCTTCAAAGCCGACGACGTGCTGGCCGTCATGCACATCGACTTGTGCGGGCCATTCCGGGTGGCTGCCAAGGATGGCAGCCTCTACTTCTTGCTGCTGAAGGACCGCAAGACCCGCTACGTGTGGGTGAGGGCGATTGCCAAGAAGTCGGACGTGCTGCGGGAGTTCGCGAAATGGCTGGTGGTGGTGGAGAGGCAGGCGAAGAAGTCGATGCTCATGCTACGATTTGGCCGAGGTGGGGAGTTCCGGGACGGCAAGGGAATCGTCCACGACCTTACCTGCCCGTACACCCGGCAGCAGAACGGCATGTTGGAGCGGGAGATGCGGACGGCGGTGGAGTCGGTGCGGACGATGCTGCTGCACATGGGCGTGCAGCACCACTGGTGGCACCTCGCTCTGCGGCAGGCCGTCTGGGTCCGCAATTGCCTTGAGAGGTCGACACTGGCGACGGGGACGACGTCGTACCAGCTTCTCACCGGGAAGAAGCCCGACTTGTTGCTGGCACGGATGTGGGGCTGCATAGCGCAGTTTCTTGTCCCCAAGAGCAGCGTGAAGCCAAAGGCCAGGTGGGGCCTTCACCTCGGTGTCTCGGCAAAGAGCAAGGGCTGGGAGCTCCTCGACCGCACCGACAACAGGGTGGTCACCACGTCGGGCGTGTTGTTCTACGAGGCGATGTCGCTGGAGGTGTGTAAGTCGGAGCACGGGCCGGCATCGGGGCGGACGCAGTTCAACCCGCCGGCGGACACCTTGACAGCAACCCTCCCTTTGCTTGTCGAGGTCGGTGAGCTTTCTGATGAGGACGCTGAGGACGTCCGCCCTCCTTCCCTCTCCCCTGCCCCCCCTGCCCCACTTCTTGCGGCCGACCTGAAGGAGCCGACCTCGACGTTGGCCAACGGCGATGAGGGGAGCAGTGGGGCGTTGCCTGTGGCGCCGGCCAAGAGCATCGCCGGTGGCCGCCGTGATGTCCAGCAAGTCGGTGTGCTTGAATAGCCGCCGAGGACAGGGTCACAGTCGGCGAAGGAGGCGCCGGCAGAGAAGCTGCCGACGGGGGAGCAGCCAGCGGTGAAGCCGACCAAGGAGCAGTCGAGGACCGTGCACTTGGCAGGAGAGTCGACCGAGCAGGAGTCGGCAGGGAAGCCGACTGAGGTACAGCAGGACATCGAGGGCGATGCAGCCGGCGACGACAGAGGGGAGCAGTTGGGGGATGCGGAGTCCACCGACAGCGATGTCGTGGAGGACGGAAGCCGCCTGACTTCCTGTCTTACCACGTGTGCCGGGTGTCGGCTGACATCGCCGCGATGTACGAGGACGTCGAGGATAAGCCGCTGTACGACGACGCCGAGGAAGAGCCGCTGTACGACGATGCCGGGGATGACGTCAACCTGCCGGAGCTCGACCCCGACATGCACGCCGACCCCGAGCACCGCTGGGACATCTCCACGATGACGGTGAAGGAGGCATTGTCGAGCTGGAAGGGCGAGGCGGTGAAGGCCGCCATGGACGAGGAGATTGCGGAGATAACTACAACAACGGGAGCTAGACTACGGGCTAGGCACAGGTGCTCGTGTGATCTCTGCGTTCGTTCCTTAGTTGTTTTCCTAGTGCACACACTGCTTGCTAGTTCATGGGGCAATTTGGCAAGAGTTTCACTAAGAAAGGTTGACAGCAATGATACACACAAGATGGCAAGACTAGACTACATCAGAGCAAGGAGGCAAGCAGGTCGACTGCCAGCGCAGCATGGTCGACCGCGTGCCAGTACGACTAGTCGCAAGTCGACGGCGGCCAGCGTTGCTCCCGCAGTACAGCATCGCACCAGCTTCGCATGTGCTCGCAGGCGATTGGCGTGCTGTGCCTCGTCACCTGCACAGCGCACACACCAAATTGTCCTCGTGCTGACGACTGTCTCTGATCCGCCAGATTGACCTCAGGATACCACCACCGAGGTCGGTCTCGCCAAAACCACCTAGGCGATCGTCACACTCCTCCGCAGCACTTTGTCACCCAAGTAACCTGGTCGACCGGGCAACCACGTCGACCAGCTGCTCCTGTATGTGCCCGTCAACCTCCCAAGTCGACGGCCACCTCCAGTCGACCTCCCCAGGTCGACCATACCCTAGGTCGACCAGCTCCAAGTCGACGACACTCCTAGTCGACCAGTTCCAGGTCGACCAACACTCCTGTCAGCTGGCCACCCAAGTCGGCTGCCCCAAGTCGGCGTCGGCGTCGCCAAGTCGACGCCACCCACAGGTCGACCACTCCAAGTCAACCTCCCACACTCGGCGCCCTTCGAAGTCGGCGCCCATGCAGTGGCCCCCGTACAGGTCGACCACTCCTGTCGACCAGCTTGCCCACTGCTTCAGGTCGGCTGCTCCTCTCACACCCGACCACTACGTCAGCTCCGCCCAAGCGAGGACGGGGCCACACCCAACTCCCGTTGACAGAGATCCGCAGTCTGATCGGCATGGGGACGTGGAAGCTGGTTGAACGCCCACCTGGGGTGAACATCATTAAGAACCAGTGGGTGCTCACGACCAAGTACCACATCGACGACGCCTTCGAGCGCGAGAAGGCGAGGTTGGTCGTGAAGGGCTTCACGCAGGTGTATGGCGCCGACTACGATGAGACGCACACGCCGGTGAGCAGCTACGTCAGGCTGAGGATCTTCCTTAGCATTGTCGCCGTCCTCGACCTCAACCTGATGCAGCTCGACATGAAGAACGCCTTCCTGCAGAGAAAGCTTGACCGGGTGCTGTACATGTCCCAGCCGGACTACTTCAACGACGGGACCGGCTGGGTGTGCAAGCTGCTGAAGAGCCTGTACGGGCTGAAGCAGTCGCCGCTGTTGTGGTACAAGGCTCTCGATGACGTGCTGCTGAGTGCTGGCTCAAAGAAGAGCCAGGTCGACCAGGCGCTGTACTTCAAGGTCGGCGCTGACAAGGAGACCTGCTTGCCGTCAGCAGCAGCACGACCATGCTGAAGGAGCTGCTGGAGGCTACCTTTGAACTGCGTGAAATCTCGCAGGTGAGAAGTACCTTGGCCTAGAGAAAGTGTGCGACGGGTAGGCGAGGAAGCTGTGGCTGCACCAGCATGGCTACGCCAACAACCTGCGCAGGCGGTTCATCGACGAGGAGCAAACTGGACGTACCCCAAAGACGCCGGTCTCGGTCGACGCCTACGCCGAGCTCACCTTCGAAGACGAGGAGGCACAGGAGCGCCAGTAGGAGGAGTACCGGCAGAAGGTCGGCTCGCTGCAGTTCGCGGCAACGACGACGAGGCCGGACATCACCTTTGCCTGCAGCAAGTCGTGGGGAGCGGCCTCACGGTGAGGAGCGACCAACACTGGCGCGAGGTCAACCGCTGCCTCGCCTACCTCGCCAACACGTGTGACACTGCTCTGGAGTTTGGCGGTGGACTTGAGTCGCTGAAGTTGGTCGGCTACGTGGACGCCGACAACGACGGCGACAAGCAGACCCGGACGAGCACGGGAGGCTACGTGTTCATCTACGGAGGGGCCGCAGTCTCCTGTTCGAGCCAGCACATTAAGTGCACAATGGTGTCATCGACCGAGTCAGAGTACGTGGCGGCCACCAACGCCGGCAAGGAGGGACGCCGCCTTCGCCTCCTCCTTGCAGAATTCCGGCAGCTGGATGCCAGGAAGCCGACCGTCCTCCAGGTGGACAACAAGTCGGCTATCACGCTCGACGAGGCTGGTCGACCAGCACAGGGGCAGCTACGTGGGAGGGCGCCGACTTTGGGAGGGCGCCGACTTGGTTGGTCGACCAGGAGTTGGTCGACCAGGGGAGTGGTCGACCTGGTGTGGTCGACATGCGGTGGGCAGTCGACGGGCCAGGGATGACACACCTGGTCGACAGGGTTGCCTGGTCGACCAAATAACCCGGACGACGAGGTCTGCGAGGTGCGCGACCATCGCCCAGATAGATTGGCGAAGATGACCTTGTCAAAATCAAGAACGAGAATGAATGAACTAGCAGCATGCAGGAGTACAAGTAGCAAACCCTAATTGGGTTGTACCCCATATTGGCTACCCCACTACAGCCTACACAACATGCAGCATTATAGTTTGACACACCCCCACAGGCAAAGTGGGGGAGAACAAGAGGTCACAAGACCAGTCAAGAAAAGCAAGGCAAGCTCAGGGTGGATCACAAAGTCACCACACACTCTGAGCACAAGCAAATGGCCACAAGGCCAGTTCACATGCAGAGTTATATATATAAAAGAGAACAAGCAGTACAGTGATCGCAACCTAGCAAGTGTAAGCATGCAGGTATAAGTATATAGATCACAGTACAGGCAAAGTCAAGAAGTGAGTAAGAGAGGCAAAGTAGGCACAAGGCCTAGAACAGTACAGAAACGCTAATGATCACAAGGCTGAAGTGCCTTGGTGAAGATATCAGCAGTGTTGGCCTGAGAGGCCACGTAAATAAGACGAAGTTGACCATGCTGCTGCAACTCTCGAGCAAGGAGTAGCGGAGAGCGATGTGCTTCGTTTTGTGCTCCTGTCTGTGCTCCTGACACAAGGCAGTCATGGCCTTGTTGTCGACGTACAGAACTGGAGGAGAACGAGGCGGCTCTCCCAAGTCGGTCAGCAGGTAGGTGAGCCAGCGTAACTCCTGTGCAGCCATGGCACCTGCGTAGATCTCAGCCTCACAACTGGAGCTGACAACAGAAGACGAGCGGGTAGACCGCCATGAAACAGAGCCGAAACCAAGGCTGAAGGTGTAACCCTGTGACAACCGCTATGTAGCCAAGTCGTCAACCCAACTGGACCCCGTCCTCCAAGCACGAGCCCCATGCCCGATGTACTGCACAAGTAGCGCATCACCCTCTTAGCGGCCTTCCAGTGCTCTGGTCGGTGTCTCCCGGGCGCAACGTAGCGTGCCAGGATGCTAAGAGGGTAAGCAAGGTCAGGTCGAGTGCAGGTCATCAGGTACATGAGGCAGCCCACAAGCTCTGGATACGGGCCACTCGGCTCTACGGACTCATCCGAAGGCAGAGCTAAGAGCGAGTGACCGGTAGGCAGAGGAGTGGACTGTGGCGAGGAGTACTGGAAGTCGAAGTGCTGAAGGACCTGCTGCACCATGTGTGACTGAGTCAAGGTAATGGTGTGGCGTGCTCTGTCCCGGGTGATCTTCAAGCCAAGATAGCTGCGCAGCTCACCCAGGTCTGTGCACGTGTGTCTCTTCTGCAGCTCCGACTTCACGTGGGCCAGTCCAGCAGTGTCCGCAGTGGCAAAGACCAAGTCGTCGACGTACACAAGGATGTAGAACGGCGGCAGCGAACTGTCGGTGCGTAGAAACAGCGACAGGTCAGCAGTCGAAGGAACAAACCCAAGAGCCGCAAGTGTCGTCCTCAGTGTGTCGTGCCACTCGCGAGGCGCCTGGCGGAGACCGTAGACTGGCTGCCGGAGGCTCCATTGGGTACCAGGAGGAAACGACCCAGTGAAGCCAGGTGGGCGGCGCAGCCAGATCTCCTCGTGCAGGCTGCCCTGTAGGAAAGCTGTGCTGAATTCAAGAGAGTGAAGCTCGTAGTCACGCTGAGCAGCAACATGCAGCAGCACCCGAAGAGTGGTCATCTTCGGTGTAGGGGAGGAGGTCTCGAAGAAGTCAACTTCCTGTCGCTGACTGAAGCCTCGTGCAACGTAACGCGCCTTGAAGACAGGCGGAGAACCCGGCGGCCGCTTCACCCTGAAAATCCACATGCCACTGACGATGTTCGCCCCAGGTGGGGGAACCTCGTCGATGTAAGTGCCTGTGGACTTCCAAGATGCCATCTTTGCGTCCATGGCTGTCTGCCACTGAGAGGAGTAGGGACCCTCTATCACCTCTGCGTAAGAGCGCGGGGTTGGGATGTCTGGTGCATCCGGGTCTCCCTGAGGTGCAATCAGCATGGACACGAGATGAGGTACAGCAGCTGCAAAGCACTCAAAGTCCTCTTGCCTGTCCTCAAGGACGTCTGTGCCAAGAGCACACTCACCCCCGACGGACGGAGGACAGACAGACTCTGACTCAGCAATAAGACTAGTGGCGTAGTCGAGACGACAGCGAGCAGCAAATTCGACAAGCTCAGCAACTAAGGCAGACGCAGCAGTGGACTCAAAGGAAGGGTCAGTGACAACAGTGGCTAGCAGACGTGTAACAGTAGGGCTGGCAGCACGAAGAAAGTCGGACTCCGGGTCCGTACCGTCAACAAGAGAGGACGCAGGAGGAGAAGGCAGAGGGACACGATGTGGAACGGAGGAAGGACGAAGTGTTATCTGGTGCGTGCTGGGGACAGGAGGAGGACGCTCACGCGGAATATGACGACCAGTGCGCACAGCACGAATAGGCGACGCAGGACGAGACGCAGGCTCACGACGCTCTCTAAGACCTCTGGGCTGCTCAGTGTAGGGAGCAGGAGTAGGCAGTGGGGAGGCTGGCTGTAACTGCGGCTGGGACTGGTCAGGCGATGGACACAGTAAGGGAGGAGTAAGACCAGTAGAAGGCGGGAGACCAAGAACCTGCTCAAGCAGAGGAACAAAGTACGGTCGCGGCCGCACAGCGCCTCCAGAACCAGCACCGACAGCACCAGCACCCCCAGGGCCAGCACCTCCAGCTCCAGGGTCTCCAGCTCCAACGCCCACAGCACTACCAGCTCCAGCAGCTCCAGCACATCTAGCAGTAGCACCTCCAGGTCCAACTCCTGCAGGACCTCCAGCTCCAGCACCTCCAGCTCCAACACCTGCAGCACCTCCAGCTCCAGCAGCTCCTGTACCTCCAATACGAGCACCTCCGAGACTAGCGGCTCCAGCACCTCCAGCAGGTCCAGCTCCAGCAGCACCTCCAGCTCCAGCAGCTCCAGTACCTCCAGTATGAGCACCTCTGGGACCAGCGGCTCCAGCACCTCCAGCAGCTCCAGCTCAAGCAGCACCTCCAGCTTCAGCAGCTCCAGTACCTCCGGTACGAGCACCTCCGGGACCAGCGGCTCCAGCACCTCCAGCAGCTCCAGCTCCAGCCCCTGTAGTACCTCCAGCTCCAGCAGCGCCACTCCGGACGCTCCAGCGTCGAGCAAACCACTCGCGCAGCTGTGGTGGAGAGATAGGCTCCCGTCGTGACGAGACACCTGGAGGACCTCTAGCAGACAAAGTACCGCCATGCTCAGCACCCCTAGGCTCAGCACCCCCAGGCTCCGCACGTTCAGGCTCAGCACCCCCAGGCTCCGCACCTCCAGACTCAGCAACCCCAGGCTCAGCAACCCCAGGCTCCGTACGCTTAGGCTCGGCACCCCCAGTCTCAGCACCCCTAGGCTCCGCACGCACAGGCTCAGCACCCCCAGGCCCCGCACCCGCAGGCTCAGCACCCCCAGACATAGCACCCCTAGCAGCACCAGAGTCGACAGCTACCTTGACACGCTCGACAGGGTCTACCTGGGACACACCTAAGGGAGCAGGACCCTGAGGGGGGAGGGGGTCTACCGGAGGAGGACCTGCTGCGAGGAAGAGCGGCGGGGGGGGGGGAGAGGGGCAGTGCGGTAGGGGAACAGACGGTAAAAGGGAACCGACTCGTCAAACGTGACGTCCTGAGAGGGCAGGACACGGTGTGAGGTGGGGTGGTAATACTGCCAGCCAGGCGCGTCAGGCGGAAGGCCAAGGAAGACACAAGGAATGGCGCGGGAGGAGAGCTTGTCCGCGGAAGTATCGCGGACAAAGGCACGAGATCCCAAGACCCGGAACACCAACGCATCGCCAACCTGTCCCGTCCAACGCAGTGTCGGCGAGGTCTCCGGCAAAGAGACATGGGGCCAAAGGTTGAGCTGATGCGTAGCGTATCGGACCGCAAACGGCCACAGAAAATGGGGGGCAGCCGCATGGATCATGAGCCACCTCCATGACTAAGCCAATGCGGCGCTCAGCAACCCCATTCTACTACGGAGAGGCCGGAAGCGTGAACGACTGGGTGACGCCCTCCTCTAGACAGAAGTCCCGCAAGAGGTCGGAGCAGAACTCACCACCTCTGTCAGAGTGCAGACGCAGGATAGGAAGGTCCTGGTGGAACCGCTTGCGGAGCTGGAGACGGACAGCGCAGATCCAAGGGATCAAGACATCAGGGACCTTTCCCTTGCGTAGCAAGGGGAAGACCGTGGTGTAACGCGTGTAGTCGTCGACAACCAGCAGAAAATACCGCTCGCGGCCCTGTCCCTGGACGCGGGCTGGGCCCCACAC